TACTTATTTTATGGTCACAATATCCAAATACAGGAAGAATGTAGGCAATGCTACCTGGACCGACCTTGGTGCATTATTATAGATTTTAATCAGCTGTTATCCTCCAAAAGCACAGCAAGTTATCAAATCTCGGCCCCAACTTGGTAAGTTCCTGTTGGTAAAATTGCACACACTGCAGGAACTCTAATGGGATTTTGTGGTATCCATATCTTCCAGAAAGTAACATATAATCCTTTCAAATTAAGACATTATTGCCTTGAGGTCAGCAAGTGTCAGTTCTGCTGAGACAAACAGGCTGATTTAAATAATGTAACTAAAGGCTGGCAGCTTTTCAAATGGACCGCTGTAATGCAATAACATTTCCAGGCTCTTAAAAGTCAGAGCCATATATATGCTCTGACTGTTGTCATCATTATCACAACACAAAACAAGTGCGGGTATAACTCTCCGTGCCATCAGTCTGACGTTGAGTTATGTTGGCACAATCATGTCTAGTTTTTTTTTTTTTCCTTCTCCCCAGTTAGGTATGTCTAGTTTAAGTCCCACAAGACATAGCAAATGTTTGTGCAATACGTCAGGTTTTTGTTCTCAGTTTAACAATGAGCGATTACAAAATAAGAAGTTATACCGGTCTAGGTGCCTCTTTGTTTACATAGTAATCCAATATGGTGGGTTGCTCAGTCTTAAGAAGAAGCCAGCAGCTGAGAACATATTACATCACCAATGTACTGTACAGGTGGTTTGTACAGATTTTTTTTCTTCCACTGAAACTATTTTGAAACCGGCTCTGAGAAACTCTGAGCTTTAGGGATTGTCTTGGAATGTTGTTGCTTTGGAGCTTGTGCTCTACTGTGGCTCACAGCCGTAGCCTTTTTGTATGGTTGAAACTGTTAATAAAATGCTAATCCTGCTAAGTAAATACTAGGCCTTCGTGTGGGACAGCAATTGCTGGATATGTAGACAACATCATGGTTATCGATGATCCATTTAGGATTCCTAAAATTCCGCATGGGCAGAGTTGTTAAGCAGGTTTTAACATGATTGATTTACTTTATTGATCTCACAGTGGAGAAATTTACTCTTTACATCAGCTCAAATAGTAAAAGAGAAGAATGAGCCAAAGGAAGAAAAAGGTGCATGGATATATACAGTGTGTCCACATATGACAGTAGGGTCATTATACAGGGTTATTGCACAGGGTGCTTACATGGGTATTTGTATAGATAAGGGGTAACCAATTAAAAATCAGTGGAGTCCGAATAAAAAAAATCAACAACCAGTAAAGGTCCAGAGACATATATAGTTATAATCTGTTACTTTAAACAAAATTTAACACTAAATAAAAATGAGATTTTTTAATGCATCCATGTTATACACTAACTTTTTAAATAAAAAATATTTAAAGTGTTTTTTTTAAGTAGAGAACAATCCTTCAGTTTGGTATATAGACAATTTCCTGCTTCACATATTTTATAAAACACCTGAACTGACCATTTATTTTCTTTTTTATGGCTTAATGAGCCCTGCAAGGCTTTAAACCTGGGTTTGAAAGGGAGACAAAGACATTCTGCAGCACATATCAAGGTGCTCATTTTGAGCTCGGAATCATATTTATTTTTGATTATGTTCATGGTGGAGATTCCTGCTTCACAGCAGCAGGTTGAGCCAAACATACTCTAAATGTGCAGGGTCATCTTTGAGCACCATTTCACTTTTCTTTCACTAGTTCACCCAAGTTCTTGCAGCAGTCAACACTTTCTTTCACTTTTTCTCATGTTCTCCTCTTTCCCATCACCCGGCTTGCCACAGGTTTACCTGCAGTGTCTAAAAGTAGCTAGCGGCAGCAGCCCTGAGCGACACAGCTCAATTGGCATCACGTGCAGCCTTGTGCCGGAGGGCTTTACCGTACAAACAGGAGAAGCAAGTTGAATTAGACACTGCCGTCAGACAACATGCGGTAGTTTATGAATGTTTGAAATCAGGTTGGATCCGGATTAGCCAGCAGGTGTGTCCGGATCGTGGTCCAGTAATCCATGACATCTGATATAGATTAATATTTATATATATTTTTTGCACTGGGTGTCAAATATAGATAAACAGGTTATTGCACAGAGTATCAAATAGGAATTGCACATTGTGATTGTAACTGTTGTGATTTTAAAAACTTTATAACTAAGAAAGTTTTATTGCTCTGCCAAGTGAAAATAAGCATTGACTGGAGTATTAGTATGGAGTGGAAAAGGAAAAATACTTTTTAGGTCTGGTCAGTTCACCCCTTTCATTTTATGCTTTTGCTGTTTTCCTACCTGACTTTCATTTAGCGGAATATTAGAGACATTAAGCAGTTCATACTGTCGTTGTACTGTATATCCTGATGTTTGTACCCTTTATTGATTCATAACTTGCAATACATACCTTGTATAAATGCACACTGCATTCTGGGCTTTAGTATCTGTGGGCTTTAGTATTGACCACTGCATTATTGCGTCCCCACTTCAGGCTGGGGTGGGGTGGGAAGGGGGCTTATTTTATTTTGTCAGTGTTGATTTATACGATCTTAAAGATGTTTTCTATTTCACAGATGTGTACGTTTTGTTCTTAACCTTTGTCTGTTTGTTTCTGAGCTCTTAAGTATGAGGAAAACATCAATTCTTGTTTGTCTTGAGGGCATTTTCTATGTAGACTGTCAACGTGCACTCATTCGGAGGTGTTTCATACTTTGTCGAGCCAAGTTGCATCAGCCTTGGGGCGTTTTCTGTGTATTCTGCGCCGGTTTGCACCCAACTGGGTGGTATTTAGCTTGGAGAATAGGGTCAATTTGTACCTGGCTTTTTGTCTTATCGCAAAATACTTGAGTCAATTCCCAACTACTTTAAAGGAGCTGTATTGATCAGTACTAGCCTCGGACATTTGATGCTCACACAGGATCAATTTGTAGCAACCTCGGTGGCTATGAATTGACATGTAGCGGCACATGCATTTTGTACCGCCTTTTTGGCATTGTGTGTGCATTAGGCATGGATTTATAACCACATTTTAGATGTTTAGAGAATACAGTGTATCAGATATATTTATTTTGTGGAAACTTTGCTGTGTTTCCATATACCCTATATAGAGGAATTATGGTCATACCACAGGAAAATTCATATCCGCCTTGGGGTAAGATTTCTTTTGTTCCCACTTTAACAATGTCTGTTTGCCATAGTTTGGTGTGTGATAATGGGAATATTTCATTAAACACAATTAAGGTAACTTAAGTCATTTTGGGTGTGATCAGGGGCTGGATTTTCTCATTTTTAAGGGTCTTGATTTTGTGTATATAATTTAAGGGTCTTGATTTTGTGTATATCACATTGAAAATAACAAACCTCCACAGGGATGAAAACCTCAGATTGCTGAACATTATATGTGATAAATTAACTAACACATGTTTGTATCCATAAGTACCAAACGGTTGGTATTGGACTTTTAAAATGGAAGCAGTATGACATTAGGAAAGGTGTTTACAATTTTCTGTCACAGATGAAGTTAACCTGCCATGAAGCTTAAAGACCTCTCTCATCTTTACAAAAAGGGGAATCCCCCCCAGTCAGTCGCTGACTAAACACTTTTTTTCCCCCGTTGTGAAATCTTGAGACCAGCTTTGTTTCCATTTAGAATAAAGCAGTGTTTGAAATAAAAAAAAACAAACCTGTAGAATATAACAAGTTGTGAGACCATAAATCTCTTGGGGCTTTTCCTAACGTAATAACTCAGATGCAGCTTCCACTACCTTACTCAGCACAAACATGTTCATCCATCAACTCTTTCAGTGCAGTCTAGTGGGAAGCCTCTCATTTCATTGCTCTCAATGCACAAATTCACCACAGATTTCTGTCAACTCACATGAAGCTGAAGTTAATGCCTCTTGAATTAGAGGTCTTGCTTTTAAACTCTTGAATTGTTCTCCCAAACGACTGATGGACAATTTCATTATCTCAGTGCTGTATTCATTATTTCAATATCCTCTTGCAATAAATTTTTCAAAACAGTGATGCAAATAGAAAACAGGGTGTATCGTCCTTCTTTACAAATTGACACATAAAAAAACTTTAAAAATTAAATTTAATAATTTCAGGTCAAGGCTTTTGTCTCAGCATTTTTATTAATTTTTTTAATGGAACCTGCCCTAACCTTTCAAACTTAACTCATTTTTTTTTTTTTGGCTGAAAGAGGAGTTAATCATCAGGTCTAATCAATGATCTGCAGATTCCTCTATTGATTAGTTAGACCAAAAACAGAAGTTCCCACTATTTTGCGTCTCAGAACACTTCACTTAGACTTAGACAAATTTATTGTCATTTTGTATGTTTGGTTTCATACAGCTTTACGACAGTTAATGAGCAGCAGCTTAGCAGTGAAATTGAGCATTTCCATTTATAAAGTGCTGCGGTTTAACATTATACATTGACAAACTTGTGTGATTTCACAAAATCAGATAAAAGTATGTTTATGGTAGAATTAAATACTATTGTAATAATTTTATTTGTAGACTTTAAACCTGCCGTCTCTCTAAAATCACTTTCTGTTAATGTTTTTAGGTCCTTCAAAGTAAGCAAAATCTGTAATAAGTCATATTTGGCTTGTTAAACATGTACACTAGTTGTATTTTAGTGGTAATTGTATATATATAAAAAAAGCAAATATGAAATCACATTAGGCAATAAAAACATGAACGCCTATAGATATAAAATGCTCCTATGGACAGGCCTCTGGTGCAAAGAGAGTCTGAAAAAGTTAATGTGTAAGCTTTGTTTACATGACATCAGAGTTCAGTTTGACTTCAGTGTGGAAACAAAGAAATGTTTCTGCAGGTTTTTGTGTTATTGTTGGAGTCCGTTTCAGGATTTCTAAAACCAAATTGACGGTTAATGTAAAAGAAGATTAAAAAATATTAAGTTCACTGCTTGTTGGCCTCTTTAAAGCTGTCTGGATCTAACTCTTTCTTTCTCTTTACACAGATTTGGATACTTTTTCTTCTTTACCTTGGTAAATCTTCTGGAAGATACCATGAGCCTCAGCTCAAAGTGTGCGCCGTGATGGCGAACATGTTGACGGCTCTATCGTTTGGAGCTTTGACTTCCTATTTTAAAGGATGATTGAACCATTTTTCTGCATGCTGAAAGATCATCTCAGAAGTAAAGGACAACTCGCCATTAAAGCCTTGCCTATACAGAGACTTGGATTGTGACTTTTTCTGCCCTTGTGTGTTGACTTTGGATTTCGCCTTATTATTTAAAGTTGCAGTCACAGTAAAAGGAGCTTCTCTGTAAGCTGCTGACATTGACTGGAATCCTATGTGTAGCCCGGCAGCTGTAGCTGCTTGTGGAATCACCTAGCCTGGGACTATCAGGCCTGAAAGGGAGCTGATCCCAGGAACCATCAGCCTTATCCTCTATCTAATCAACTATTCTACCGGTCTGAAGGCAGACTCTACTAACCAATGGCATGGGTCAAGTTCTTCAGGAAGCAGGGGGGCAATCTGGGGAAATCCTACCAGCCGGGGAGCATGATGTCTCTGGCCCCAACCAAGGGACTGCTGAACGAGCCGGGCCAGAACAGTTGCTTCCTTAACAGTGCTGTACAGGTAGGTGGAATATTTGTTGGTATAAATATATAGTGAAAACGACATCGTATTTGGCAAATGTGCGGCTTTGCTGAGAAGTTAGAGCATTTGGGTTTAGCTTCACTGATGCCCGAGACTCAATTTCCCTGTTGGTGAATATTGAGCTATCAAGAATGGCTAAGGGAAGAATTGTTTCCTCCATAAGTCTGGATCGCCATCTACTACACATGGCTGTGTTATATGAATTACTTCCCAAAACCAAGGAAATGTTTTTTTTGTTTTTTTGTTTTTTTTTTCGATAGCAGTTTGATTAAATTGTGAGAAACAAAAAAGGCCTAGTTGAGATTTGGTATAAGTGTAAACATTAGGGGAGGAGGTAGAAGTAATTAGTTTATCAGGGTTCCAATTAGGGTTTAAGCAATTAATCAGATTAATCGTGATTAATCAATTATTGAAATATATTAATTAAATAATTTAGTAATTGATTAATCATTAACTGGAGTATAGAGACTGTAAAACATGTCTTTGACAGAGCTGACAGAGCGACCCACTTAGATTAGTAGTTATACCAAAATTATTTAGAAAATATACACATTTTGCATTAAAAATATAAAAAAAGAAATATATTTCGTCCCTCTATATACTCTACCTAGAATTCCACAAGTGGAAAAGTTTTAGTTTCAACTGGTTTCGTTTCTCAAAAAGTCTTCGTTAAAGAATCTTCCGCTGTTTGATAATTATTTGAAAAAATAATCAACAGATTAATCGATTTGCAAAGTAGGTTCCAATGCTGTCTTAATAGGATTTCATAATATTCTAGGTATGGAAACACAGAAATGTAGACTATGGAAGAAACTTTGACTTTGCAAAATGAACATATTTTAAAAGCTTGCTGACTTTCATTTTATAAATAATAGTAATGTGCATATTAGTATTTCTAAACGGTTAACTTGATTTCTTTAGTTTTATGTATTTATTTATATTGTGGTCCATGCACCATCTGCCTTTCTTTATTGTAGAGGTTAGTCATTGTCTAAATCCGTCCAAGCTTCCCATCCATTTATGAATGTACTGAAAGGTTACTTTTGACCACTGGAGTACTGTGGCCGGTGAGATGATTCATAGCAGTAGTCATGAGTTAGGTCAGTTTTAAAGAAGACTATGACTCAGAGGCTGTGACAGCCTGTGAACTGGTGGGAGACGATCCCCACTTTTGGCTCTATTTCTCTACATGAGAGAAGATGCTGAGACCTTGGAGGCTGTATTTTGAAAGTCATGCTTATAAAATACCCAAGGATGTTTGGCTCTCTTACATAATAAGATTATTCACAAGTTAGTGTTTTTAAATGTGTTTGTTTGAGGTTATTGTAGCAAATCCTATGACTAAGAGACTAGAGATTAACTTTAACTTGCTTCTCTGTTTCCTTTTCTTTTTTTTTAGGTTCTGTGGCATCTGGACATCTTCAGACGCAGCTTGAGACAGCTACCGGGGCATTTCTGCCTGGGAGACTCGTGCATTTTTTGTGCATTAAAGGTACAGCATCTTTAGCCACTTTTGTAAATTAGAGTGAGATAAAATATTTAAAAGCCTTTTTTTTCTCCTCTCTCTTGTCATCATGTAGACATCTGGTCATTGAGTTACGTACGTTATGTAGAGTACCTTGCAAAAGTATTCATACCCCCTTATTAGCATGCAATACAGCTACAAACTGTACTATTTTATGGGTCATAGTGTATCATTGTAAAGTAGATAAAAGTAAGTTTAAAAATAAATTATATCTCAAATATGACAATCTGCATAAACACTTAATGACAGCATTTTGTGGCCACCACCACGTTTCAACAGGTGTATGTTAAGGAGATGTGAAGTTACATTTCATCTCTGAGTCCCTACAACCTTCAGATATCTTGGGCAGTGGTTCCTAAATGTTCCTTGCTCCCCCCACAACCATATCAAGAGTTGAACAAAGAAAGTCAACAGCAGTAAACAGCTTAAACAACTGTCTTTTATTAAATCACAGAAATCTCACTTTAAAAAGGTTCACTGTCACTGTTTATTTCACTATGTAACAGAGTTTAACATTCCTATCAATACGTATTTCTTAAAGATGCCTTTTAATCAAATAATTTCTAGCATGGCCCGCCTGCAATTACCCCTCTTTGAGAACCAAGGACCTACAGACTGAATTGTTTCACTATTTTCATGCCTGCAGACTCAGTCTGGCTGTTTTCGTGATAAAGAACAGGGCCTCTGTTGTTTTAGCAATGTTCCATCATGAAATTGAAAATGTATTATTTTAATGCATCAAAAGGCTCAGTGAGGAAACTGATTACTTCAGAATCATAGAAAGTAATATCAATTGCTAAATACTTCTTTTAGTTCTAGTAAAATTTATTGATTCATCAAATTATTAACTCTATAGGGACAGGGAAAGTTGAAGTGACCTAATCTACCTGTTAAAATTAAGCTTAAGTCAATAATATTAATCAACTAATGTTCAAGTGGTATAATTTATAGAAAAAGAAAAACACTGTTGTTATTTCTAAGTTACAGTGGTATATTGAAAATTATTCATATCCTTGTCAGAACTTCACAAAAAACAAAACAAAAAAAACTTTATTGGTATTACAGCAATGTGACGTTTTTATTAATGCAGAATCTATTTTTGTTTTTGCATTTCCTTCTGAATTCAGCACCGGTTCATTGTTTGGAAGGCTTCTTTGCAGTCACCCTAGTTTTTAGTACACTTCCCAGATTCTCTTAACAGAATCAACCTGATAATCTACAGTAAGATGTTGATTTAAAATGTATTAATTTATTTTATTTTGGTCAAGTTTGTAAGATTTATTGACTACAAAGCCACCCATAAAACCCAAATCATTAATCATTTCACATATAAAAAATTATTAGATAAGCTCTCAAATACAACTACTTAAAAGAAAAAAAAATCCTTAAAACTCTCAACCAATTAAATGGGGGCTTTCTTACATAATGGGAGCAACTGATTATAATGATACTTTTTTTTTAATGAAATAAGATTATTTAAACCTGAATAGATTTTAACTACTGCTTTTGGCAATTTTCTAGTGTATATACCGTGAGAGTTAACATTTATTCTATTGATTGTATTTTTTTAGTTTGGCTTTAATAAATGTTTATTATTAAAAAGTATTGCATACAGATTCTTATTGTTCATAGACTTGAATTTAGAAAAATATAATTGTACTTTTCAAATACTTAACTATTTTCTAATATGGTCATTTCTGATTGTTTTTAGTTAAACACATTTTTTTGTGTGTTTTAGAAAAATGATAGCTGAATAAAAATAAATACCATTCAATTTAATTTTAATTTGCTAAAAAAAGATAAAAAAAGAACTAGAATTGATCTCTACACTGTCATCCATCGCTCTGCGTTACCAGTCTCAGTCTGATTTGGTTTGTGATGTAGAGTAGAGTCCCTATTTGAACCCCAGCTCCAGCGTTTTCGACTGTGTTGTCCTTCACCTGCATTACCTATTGACAAGGGTCAGAGGTCACATTGAAGTTTATGAATTCCACATTGTAAAGAATTTCAGAGGAATAGATGCTTATGCGAGACTCTTATGTATTATTCCTTCCTGTAAACATAATGTAAAATGTCCATGTGTAACTGTCTCCTCTTTCCCTCCATCAGGGCCTTTTCTCCCAGTTCCAGCAGAGTCGCGAGCGCGCCTTGCCTTCTGACAACCTGCGTCACGCCTTGGCAGAGACCTTTAAGGACGAACAGCGCTTCCAGCTGGGCTTTATGGATGATGCTGCAGAGTGCTTTGTAAGTGTTTGTGTGTTGTGCTGCCGCGCAGTTAAGGCAACTAACTGCAACAAACCGTTGGGGGAGGTCACTAAAAGAGCTTCTGTCCCCGCTATCCCCTCTCCTCTCAGCTCCTTCCACAATAGCGCTAAATATCACCATGACAGGTTATATAAGCATGTGGGCTGTGTCCGGACCACTGCGTATTACTTTCATATAAAGTCTTTCTTTTATCTGTTTGAATTACCTTATGTTCCTCATAGTTTTTATTAGTATAAGTGTATAGATTTAAAGGGAGATTGTCAAACAGGAGAGCGTGAAGCTGAAAAGCTAAACCACACATTAGTCTGATATTTAGTGGTGTTAATATGGCAATATCAAGGTCCTTTAACAAATCAAAGAACTTTCCTAAATTTTAGGCATAATAACTTGGTTATTAACTTTATTTTTATGTTCGTGTTGTGTGTTTATATTTTCATGTATTTACATACTTATTCTTCCTTATTCTCCTTACGTTTGTGCTCACTGACTTATTTCTTTTCTCATTTCTTCACCTATGAAATTCCGTTTTTTTTACTCACTAACTAATATATTTATCTACTGAGTTTGATTATAAGGAGATACGTATTCACAATTTGTTTTATTATTTACTAACTTGTCTGATTTTTAACCCTACTGGCTGATTTGATCAGTTACATACTTGTTTGTTAACCATCAGGTTTATGGTTGTATTGTATGGTGGTATTGGTTAAGTGAGCCACTTGCTAACTTGATAAAACCTGCATCTAAAATAATTTTTTTACTCAGTAACAATGAACCTTTCACCATAGTTCCTTTTTCACGTACAGCTATTTCTTTATATGCAAGTTTTCTTATTTAATCTCGTCATATTTAAATTTTTTCTTTTAGTATGTTTTGTTATTTACTCATAGCTATTTGCTTATGTAATATTTTTCCAACTTGTCCACTAACCCTTTAAGTTTTAAAGGCACATTTGGAAACTAAAGAATCGCTTTCTTTTGTTCGACGTTTTTTGGGCTTTTGAGAGTATCTTTGTATCTAACTCATTTTACTTGTGAGCTAGGTTCATTTGTATCTGTCTGCTCCTGTATCTCCACAAGTAACCTGGCTTTTGTTTCTGGATTGAATTACATTTTTCTCACCATAGTAGCCTTGGGGGGTGTGACCACTGCATTGTTCATTGTGTTCCTACCTGCATTCCTTTCCTCTTTAGATGGACAGGTTACTTTCAGGCATTTTAAAGCTGCTTCTAAGGGTAAAGAGATGTGTGCTCATGTTATTTTTTGTTTTACCGCTTTCCTGCATGCTTAGTTTCTTATCATCCTATCAATATGGAGACATCAAATGGAGTAGACTACCTGGAAAACCCTTAACGTCTCCTGCACTCTATAGTGCTCGGTTAAAACAGGATCTAAATTGCACTTGATGTTTACAATATGTCTTTTTAATTTCTCTTTTGTTTAATAGTGATGCATTTTGTTGTCTTTCTCAGGAAAACATACTGCAAAGGATTCATCTGCATATTGTGCCTGAAGAGACCGACGCCTGCACCTCCAACTCATGCATCACCCATCAGAAGTTTGCAATGACACTTTATGAGCAGGTCTGTGCAAATATTTTCAAAATATTGATCAATGCTTTATCCCGTTCAATAGGTAAACCTGTCATGCAGCACAAATTAACACATTTTATCTAGATGCACATCACAAGACGGATAAAAAACAAATATTATCATATTGTGATGAAATCCACACCTGTTTAAATCCACCCAATAGAAAAACCCACTTCAGCGTAACAATGTATTTATAGAGGCAGTTAGGAACATTTTACTCATCTAAAGCTGTCTTTTTAACAGCATCATGTTATTGACCCTATAGCAATCCCTAATCCTAAGTAAACGGAGAGGAACCACTCTTTATCCTACATGGTGAAACATCGATCAGACTCCACAACTTTAAAGGAGAGAAGAAAGGCAGAAATAAGAGTTATGCCCTCATTATGGTCACCACAAACTTGAGAGTATGATGTAATGATGATTTGAATTTTAGATATTTTTGGTAAAGCTGGTTGAGTCCAAGATGGCATTAAATGCTGCATGAGGGTCATTCTACATGAAGCACTAAATCATGTAAGTCTCAAAATGTATGTATTATTTCAAACGCAGAGTTTGGTGGATAGTATGAAATCACTAACAGAAGATGTTTATGTGTTTGCAAAATAAACGAGACTCTAAATATTGGTTGTAGCTCATGCTTTCACAGAGGGCCTGCCCGAAGTTTGTCCTTGTGGGACTCAATTCTCGAGGGCCCCTGTTCTGCAGGTTTTAGAGGTTTACCTGCTTCAGCACAGCTGATTTCCATTGACAGGCTTTTGCTGAACCACAATAATCAGAATCTGCTGAGCTAAAGCAAGGATACCCCCTTGAGGGTCATCTTTGGGTTGACTCAAACAATTGAAGATCGTCCTTCTGCTTCAGCCAGGTTTCTGTGAGATAAAATAAACAACCAGTTATTACCAAATACTTTGAAAATAGAAATCCTACATTCAAAATACAACTTTCTATTGTTTTTGATTATTGAAGTAAAGGTAATAAATGTATTATGTTATATTGAGATTTTCATTTGAGATTTCCCATCCGTTTTATGAGGGGAAACGGTAACACTGCTACAAATGACAACAATTGACAATTATTTCAATTATTGGTGATTATAATTGATCCAATTAACTGTTAGCCTTATTTTGCACTGCTTTAATGTTATTTTGTGAACTGTCTGAACTTTCTTTCTGACAGGGTTAGAATCTGTGTCCTGCACACAGATGCTTACTCAATGGGTACAGGAGTCAGTTCCTTAGACAATAGGAATCCAATCCATCATGTTTTCACATGGGGTCACCCCTTGTGGTTTACAGAGTGTGCTTTATTGTCAGGCAGCACGATGCTGCGGCAGCAGTACCGGATGTGCCACAGATGGCGAACACATAAATCCCAGCTACACACATGTGCACCAGCCTGCATTGTGTCAGCAATGCCCATCATTTACTTTGTTCCTGTCCTAAACAAGCATTCTCTATGTACCCAACTGATTAATTACATTTAACCTAAATCCTTTAACTTCTTTTATCCCAAACCTGCTAATATTAACTGAAACTGAGTGCATATTTTATAGTTCGGTTCATTTCTATGTCACTGTAAAACTGTAAAAGGCTGTTGAACTTTCCTTTTTTTATTGCTTTTTTTACTCACTTGTCTTCTCATCTCCAGTCTGTGTGCCGTAGCTGTGGGGCGTCGTCAGATCCTCTGCCCTTTACGGAGCTGGTACATTATATTTCTACAACAGCACTTTGGTAAGAACCAGTGTATTTCATTCCTTCCATCATTTAAAGAGGGAAAGGGAGACACTGATTTGAAGGTACTATTAGCTGGTACAGCCAAATCAGTGTGGTTCTCATGTTTATTGTTTTCTCTTCCACCTTGTTGTTTCTTGAGCTTCTGCTGATGCGATTCTGCTTTCTTAGTCAGCAGATGCATCAGCGTCGTGATGAATCATTTGGGGAACTGTTACAAGCAGCGAGTACGATTGGGGACCTTAGGAATTGTCCAGTAAGTAATTTCAGTTTTTTACAGACTGGCCATTTTACTGGTAGCTTATTGTAATTAAAGCTTTATGGTAACATTTGTTCAATTTTATATAGTGCCACCTCAAAGCAAATGTCATCCAAAGGCCCTTTAAAATATAAACTGGGCCAATTCATTTAAGGCTTATAAAGAATTTAACTATATAAATGGGCTTTGAACCCAAAAATCAACCTACTACTGTGTCTTTGATTATGATTCGTCTTCCAATATTTCTTCATTTCTATTTATTTTTTACCATGTCCTGGTTATTTTGATTTTGAGTTGTAGTTTTGACTTTGCAATTTGGGGCTTGTAGTTTTGCCCAAATGCTTAAGACCCAATATACCCTGTTGTCATTTCTAAATCTAGTGTCTGTGATACAGTTTTCAGTGGTGTTCTAAATTATCGAGGTGCATGTATGAATTCAGCTACTGCAAGATGTCTTTTACCTGTAGCTTTGATAAAAAAATTTTAAAAATAGATTGTGTTTTTTGCTTTCTTCCAGAGCAACTGTGGTCAGAAAATCAGGATCAGACGGGTTCTCATGAACTGCCCAGAAATAGTTACCATCGGCTTTGTGTGGGACTCTGATCAATCGGATCTCACCGAGGAAGTCATTCGCTCGCTGGGGCCTCATCTCAGCCTCTCTGCGGTGAGCCGGCTTTATGCTGTCGTTTACATGTAATTTAGTTTCCAGCTAAATTAAAATGGCTCTGTGGGGTCTGTCAAAACATCAGCCTTGATTAAAAGTACTGCGGGTGTACTCGTTTTCATCTACACGACTATTTCTTCTGACTGCTCTAGGGACAGTTTATTGTAATGCAATGGAACATATGCGGGAAATAAAGTGGGGATTTACTTCTCGGCAAGTCGGTGTAGTTGCATAAGCAGTTCATGCCCAATAGCCAGCGATCAGACGGTCAATGCTGGCCTCAGGACAGCCTTTCAGAAAGCCTCTCCTCTCATCTTTGTGTGCAGGAATGCTTCTGAAATGAACATGAAGGGTCTGTTTGACTGAAAGAAAAGAAGTAATAGGTCCTGGTGTCTGCTGTTGAACATTAATCTTAAACCACATCATAGTGTCATTTACATACTGTAACACCATTCACATCAGCTCACTGTGTGGATGAACATTACAAAGAAGAATCCATCAGCAGAGTTCTATTCAGAGGGCAGTCCACACATTGCTGACCAATATTCAGACTGTTTTCTTGATAGATCAATCTGGAGCCATTTCAAAACCAAACCATCTGAAGCTTGTCAAACCAATCCTTTAATGAAGCCACCACAAATCATCCATTGATTTGGGAGCAGTCCATGTGACTTTATTATGAGTTAAATTGAGTCCTACGTCTTCTCAGTTTGCCTTGAAACAATCCTTTTTGTGTGCGTCTGTGTGTGTGTCTGAGGAAACAGAGAACATACTGTTCAGGAAGCATGTTCAATAGAGACTACTCACCAACACTGTCCTTGTATTTGTTCAACATGCGAACACAATAACACTTTTTTAAATGAGAAATATTGTAGGAACATTGTAGAACAGATGTGAAGGTCAGAAGTTGTCAAATTAAAACAAGGATGGAAACATGGATTTTTTTTTCCTACTTCAGCCTAAATCAGCTTGTATAAATATTTTTATTTATGTGTTTGTGGCCACAGCTGTTCTACAGGGTAACAGACGAGCACGCCAAAAAGGGAGAGCTGATGCTTGTTGGGATGATCTGCTACTCCAGCCACCACTACTGTGCCTTTGCCTTCCACACCAAATCCTCCAAGTGGGTTTTCTTTGATGATGCAACAGTGAAAGAGGTGAGGAGGACACCAGCTGGTTTTCTACAGGTTGTTGGAATGTCTGAATTTAATAGAGGATTTGGTTTTGGTCGAAAAACCACCAGATATACAGAAACCTAAATGATCTAAATCTTATTTGAAATTGTCTATTTCCACATTAAAGGCAGGTAGAAAGCTTTCTGTAATTCCATAGTCTTGGCATGCACAGAGACAATTACAGATAGGAAATAAGTCAGACAATACATTAGCAGATTAATATTAGGCTAAGGCTCAGCTAAGTCACCTACAAGACATAAGCATTGAAATATTAATGGTGAAGACGTACTATAAAATATGATAAACTGTATGTTATTGTTTACAAACTTTTAGGGTTCAAGGCATTGCATTTTAGAGTAAAGGGCCTTTACACTAAAAATTGCGTAATCAGACTGTTACACTTAATTTCAATGAGTGTAATAACCTGGTAAATGGTGCTTTTTTTTAAATATGTTGACCTGTTTATTTCCACATATATGTGAGGAAACTTTCTGCTTGAGAACCTTGAATCAACAATATGAATATTTGAACCGTCTGTCCGTCCTGAATGCTTCAAACTTTGTCCTTGACTTAGACTCATCCTGGGTGCGCTCGCAGGCTGGTGCATACAGTATCTCCCCCAGCAGACAGGGAGCGTAACCTTTGAAGGCCCACACCCAGCAGCTGCTGGGAGCTTAGCTAGATCAGACGGACAGTTTTCATTTTAGGGGGAGATACAAACAATCTCTCCTATTAGAAATGCAAGTTATTAATAACTTAATTAATTTGAAGTTATCGATGGACTAACATTTATTGAAAAGCTGCTAAAAGTTTTCTCTTGTATCAAGTAGACCTTTGCATGAGAGCTATATGTTTTTGCACAGTATACTGAATAAATAAAAAAATGTATTTTATTTTAAGAATGTATTATTAATTATGTATAAAATACTGACTGAATAACTGCAAAAATTCTTACATATTAAGGAACATAGACATATTTATAAGTTATAGCAAAACTGGAAGTTTTTTAGGTTACTGAATAAAAAAAACAATGAATAGAAAATGTGAAATAGAACTTCAGATAAACAAAATAATAAAACATTCATTTGAAGACAAAGTATACCTTTGAATTATTTGTAGCTGTCAGCATGTCCCTGACAGCTACAAATATTGTCATTTTTCCTCTTCAATGTAATTAGGTGAACGGAAAAGTGGTAAAACCCTCTCTGTGTGTAATCCAACAATCCATTCTTGTAGACTATTGTGCTGCTAGTATTGCATTTAAATGGGTGGTTCTGGTTGCTAAAACATGGCCTTTCCCATCTACCATGCTTATTTCCAGCATTTCCTTTCTGTTGTGCTAAAAGATGCTTTGCGTAATGCCCCCCACTTCTCTGTCATTTTGTCCTCTCCTTTCGAGCACAGCAGAAAGTATTGACACTACTCCGCCATGCAGCATAGCCAAATGGGAGCTATTTAAGTGATAAGTTAAGGTTAAGTTTCAGTGTTTATATCGTATAAACAGAACCACATTAAATATATTCTGTATCCGTGTCCCCAGTAATATTTTAAACAATCATGGATCAGATTATTTGCTCTAGCACGGCTCCTCTAAGAAATTACTTCTCTGGCAAATACAAGTGAGCTCATCTTAAGAATAAACAGTAGTGGCCTCCACTGGACGGATTCAACATGGAAAGAAATTCCTTTTTAAGCAGCGGATTCAGCTATTTTTAATCTAATAATCCCTTAAACAACAGTTAATATTTATTTATTTAAGGATCACATTACCATCTACGAGAGTAGAGACTACTCTTCCTGAGTTTAGACAGTCAGTACATACAACAAACTTACAGAAGAAACATTATTAAAAAATACAATTAAAACAAACAAAAGAAAAAAACTTGAAAAAATGTTGTACATAGTTAAACAAGCAGAATTACCTTAGTAATTATAGATTTCTGAAAATTTAATTTGACATGATTTGTATAAATCGCACATTCTGTATCAACATATTTTTACGGAACGATGACTCAGTATATAAATGTCTTTTTTTAATGTATCTGTTCTTAAAAGTCAGATTAACAGCTTGTCTTGTATTAAGCCAGTGTCTGCTGTAAGTAGGCTCTAGTTTAGAGAGCAGACTCAGGGGTTTGTGTGAAGTCCAGATTTTTTGCAGAGACACCAAAGAATAGTAAGTCAATAATTTGTGTACATTCCTACTGCAAGGATGAAAAAGGAGAACAGAACAAAACAAATATGAGTGGACTCTATTAGCAAAGGGGCTTAAAAGAAAAGAGAGTTGGGTATTGCAGAGAAGAAGGAAGAAATAAAAGTAAAACTTTTTATTTGAACAATTTTATCTAAATCATTAACATATAACATTAACAATAAAATTTAAACAAAATTGTTCTAAGAAAGAGACATTTTGGGACCCTATGAAGCATTTAAAAAAATGAAAAGGCTCTACATACAAAACAAGTGTTTAAATGGCATAGTAAGGATAGGTAAGTTTTTCACTGTCTTTGCATGAAGGTGTAACTTAATTCTTGACACAGGCGATGATAGTTTGCAGTGCCGAGTGAAAAATCATGGTTTCCTATTTATTGTGTTTATTAATAGGTTAGGATACTCAAATTTAACGACAAAAAGTGGGATATTAGAAACGGTTTGATATTTTGTTTTTGTTCTACTATAGCATTAAGTGTTTTAATGCAGATGAGGTTTTTACATTGTGTCTTAAAAATGTGCTGTCAGAGAATGTTCCTCACTTCTTATAAGACTGCATTGTACTATTAAATTAGCGTATTTACGACTATTGGGTGCTTTTAATAGATGCCCCTACTTGCTTAAAGGAGTCAAAAGTTCTAATGACGACACACAAAACGCATAGCTCCCCCTTAGAACAACTAAATTCAAATTGAGTGATGATGATAAAGATTCTTAGGTATTGTTTTGACTGCTTCCATGTTTGTAGGCTTCTGCTTTTGCCAACATAAAACACCTAATGTTGCACTCTGGTTTTGCAACACTGAGGGCTCCAATAGGATTGGCTCAGGAATCAAGAAGTAAACACAGGCTACTAACCTCTTTGAAGTAGTTCTGGACCATACCTCCATTTCTGAAGGACAATTACTTGACTAAGACGTTGTTGATAAAGTACTGAAACTGTAATTTCCCTCTGGGCTTATTAAAGTATGTCTGATTCTGATTCTGATAAAGAGGGCACTGATTGTTTATAATGAAATGTTACATCCATCCTAGATGACAATTTAAAATGATTTTGATTAATTTTATAGCATATTTTTTACCTGTCAGACCTTTAGGAGAAGGACTCATAAAGAATACTAATTTATCTATGCATAGATATATGCTTTATATGCTGTGAGAAAATAGTATTTTTTTTTGTTGTTTTTTCCCTGTTTTAATCTGTTACATGATGTGAATATATGAGCATGTGTTTTGTCTCACAACATGCTCACTATTTTCTTTGGGACTGCGGTGCAGCGGCCGCCTGGCTCTGCGTCAATCCATCACCAGCTTGTGCTGCGTGTGCAAACCCTCCCTAGTGAGATGGAGAGGTTACGCTGCTTCAGTTCCTGCCAATTACCTGGATCGAAGCTCGCCAGCATTCCTGGGAGTCCTCAAACAGTTGTCACTGAAGGACTGCAGCACTGTAGCTTTTCCACGGCTTATTCAGTTAAAGAAATCCATTTTCAGAAAATTAGTAACAATAGATGTCTTGGGAATGTTGTTTTCATTGGGAGTCTCTATTGTTTCCTTTGCTGGCCTGTATAACGTTGGAAATTGTATAAAGGAAAGCAAGTGATGTATGAAGAATAAAAATAATCCGGTGGAAGCAATTTAGCTATGCTTTGAAGGATAACAAACGCTGGTAAAAATGTGTATTTCACCAAAGGATTGTGAGGATTTGCCCTCCAGGAATTTACGATTTAAAAAAAGAAACTATAGTTGTTCAATTTTATTAACCTTCCAAAATTGAATTTTTTCTTGTTTTATGCTGATTATTGTCTCAACAAACATAAATAATATTATAATAAAAATATTTTATATTGTTTATTTCCCTTTTAAATATGCTCTTATTTTGTAATTTATTATTTTTAGCTCTTTAATTATGCTTTTAATTTTTTACCTTTACCTTATGCTGTAATGGAATCTTATACCGTATATGTATTTAATAATGTATGCCTTTTGGCTGCAAACCTTTGTGTTCATTTTTATTTTGATATATTCTAAAAGGAAAACCTTTAATTTTATAACATATCAATGTCACAGAGAAATGATTGCTTAAAAAACATCATAATAAATAATAGGATATGCCATCCCATAAAAACATAATTGTTTTAAGTGGTTTGTTTAATATTTGTCCTCCTCCTTGGGTTATTTCCTTATGCATGTCTATTTATATTCTGCTTTTTTTCTTCTTTTTTCTGTTTTAGATTGGTTCCCGATGGAAAGATGTGGTCAGCAAATGTATTAAAGGTCACTTCCAGCCTCTGCTCCTCTTTTACTCTAACCCTGATGGCAGTGCCATCCACACAGAAGATGCCTCAAGACCCAGCAGCCACTCAAACAACCACAAGCCCTACGTCAACGGAGAAGTGTCAGGTATTACACGCTCATTTTTCTATCCTTTTTCATCAAGCTAATCATCTGAAAAGGAATCTGTTTAAATATGTCCTTAGGGGCTATCATTGTTGTTATTTTTTTAAGACAGTAATATAAATGGTGCAATTTAGTGTACAGTGTTATTTAATTTCTTTTTTGGGGTGCTTTATTTTCTAGTTTTCTTGCCCTGATTGCATCTTGTAGACCAACATATTCATAATGCTCTACGCTCCGTGTTTTCAGCTTGGATTTGAGTGCAGAAATTCAAATAAGGTTTTATCTTTTGAGAATATTTTGGGTGAGGAAACCACTTAAATTAAACAGCACTAGAACAAAAACATAGCTTGGATCTTGCCAGGCTGCTGTAAAGGCGGAAGAAATATGGATAAAACACAGAATAAAAAATAAACCTGAAAGGTTGAATCTGTCCAATCTACTTTTGTCCATCACTCTGTGCCTCCATTATCTGTCCATTTTTTTGTCAATTTTTGTCCATATGTTGGAATTATCCATCCCTCCATCCACCTTCGCTTTATTTCTCCTTGTCTATTTGGAAAAGTTTAGAAATCAGACCTGAAACTGTGTCTCTTGTTACATTCGTATTGGTTACATTTGTAGTCAGGCTGTCATGATGGAAATATATCATCTGCTGGGATTATCTATCCCTGGATTTGAGCTGTTAGGGAGTTTTTTTCTATCCCCTTTAAAGATCCTCCTCCATCCCTCTGTACTGGCTGTGTCCCAGCTCCAAGCTGCGGCAGCTGCTCAGTGTCCATCATAGCTGTCAGAACAGCCAGGAAAAACGACATGACGATGACTGAAGACACTGTCATTTCAATTCTCATTCATTGTTCAAGGTTGAAGTCTCTATTTTTACTCATGAACAAAGTTGTGCTGCAAGGAAACACTGAATGTTACCTTGAAAATGTCTTACTTTCTTCACTACAGGTGCTGAGTCTCCAGTTCCAGCACCTAAGAAGCTGGAATTGACCAAAGAGAATCTCAAAGCTGTGCTGGACTACGAGCCTCACAAAAAGAAGACCACGTCGACTCTCAGCAGGGGCAGCGGACAGACCAGCGTGGGACGAGGACAAGGTAAAGGAATACAAAGATATATGCAAAAAAATACAAGCCGAATTACAGGGACAATGATTGAAACAGCCGAGGATAAGAAAAGCAACTTACTTAAATTTTGGAGAGCTTTTTAAGGGACAAACTAGAGTTGTGAACTAGATGAGTCACAGTGTTTGGTTTCTGTCCTTTTTCAGCTCATTAAACGCCTGCCTCGCTGATAAATATTTTTGTCCTCAAATTCTGGCAGCAAGCAGAGATCTGGCATGGCAACCAGGGGAAGTGATAATTAAATGTCTTTGCTGTAAAACTAAATCTGACCGTGTTAGGAACGCAGAAGGGATTGGGGACTCTTCTTGAGTAGAAAGGTCACAAAGAGTTGCCAGTTCTGCACACATGCAGCTTAACATTATTATCACAAAGTACTGAAAAAAAGGACAGGAAGGAGAACTGGAACACACAAATTTAGGTCAAGAAATATGAGAGGATGATGATCTAAAGAGGAAAAGGGAACATTTATACAGCGCTTTTAATTCTTAAACAAAAATCATAGCTAGCAAACATGGATTTAAAAGAAATCCCTGTAAAATCTTAAAATAATTTGTAATAAAACCTAATATAATTAATAATTGTTTTATCGGCCTTTAAATATATTTCAGCAGCTGCAGACTTGAAAGCATAAAAGTGAGGTTTTAACAGAAAGTAGTGAGAAAAGCTCCTACCATGTAAACTAAAACTGAAGGATTTAAGCACTGATGGAAATTTCCACCAGGTCCTGCTAAGGGATCTCCTGGTGTTTTTCTTATCTTTATTACCTCCCTTTTTTCCTCCCCAAAAGTAAAATATGTTAAGTTGCATAACTTTTGTGTTTTTTATTGTTGCTGATTTCTAGTGAAACGTGAAACCAGCGATTCAAAGGGTCGCATCAGGGAAATTTCCAGAGAAGCTGCCCATAGAGCGGGAGAATTGAGAGGAATGCATCCAGTCAGGAGAGATGCTGACAGGGGTGGTCAGCGGAGGCCGGACCCACGACACAGAGGTGGGTCTATGGAAGACTCGGCATGAGAAAGCCGAGTTGAACGAAGTGCTGTCACTTTTCCCTCTTCGAGCCCTTATGTAACCTTCCGTTTTGGAGCAATGTGTCAGAAAGGGGATTAAAGCTGCTGACGTCTGTTTGAGCCAGAGTTGATCCTCCTTGCTTTCATTCTCAAACTCTCTGTTTCTTGCTCTGGGATGTTTACATCAATAAGATTTTTTCTTTTCTTTTTTTTTCTTTTTCAAAAACAAGAAAAGCCCTAAATCCAAACAGAGACAAATTTCCTTATGTTTAAAATTACTGAAACTTATAAGCCTACGTTTTCTAATGTACTTCACAACTTGGGTTTGTGTTTTTTAAATGGTGACTTGACTGATTTGGTTCATCTTGTTTAATAGTGTTTTTTGTAACATCAAATGCTACATATCACTATAGTTCTTGATAGAGATGAATTAATTGGAAATTTGAAAACTGGTTCCAATCTGCATTTAAGCAAATTGCTTTCATGCTGACAGTTTTTAGATCTCCGTTATTTCTGTCTGAGGGCTATGAATGGATAGCAAAATTTCAATACCGCTGTTTTTTTGTCATTTTAAATGCAGGAAGTTATGATTTTTCTTTTTTATTATATGGGGAAAATGTTTGTAAAATAAACATGTGACTTTCTGCAAATGAGGAAGTAAATGAGAGCTGCTCCTGGATTACTGCAATCCTGCTAAAGCAGTACAAACATTAGATTATCCAACTGAGCTGTTTCATGCAGTTAAAAGCTGTTAAAAACAGCTGTATTACACATAAACTACTCCTTTTAAGGGATTTCTTTCTTGTTTCACTCCGATAAAGGTATAAGTGCTCCACATCAAAACATTTTGTTCTCTTAAATCTACTGTGTGTTTTATAGTATGTACATATGCTTGGGAAAACCATGGGGAACATCATACACGGTATCTGGGAAAACAGTTTATGTTCAGCGGCTGTACAGTCAAACAGGATTTCAGACATTCTCAAAATAAAAACATGATTATAGAGTGTTTTTAAACCATCTTTATCACAGCATGATTAGCAATACTACTATTTATGACAGACAGAATTTCGCTCTTCAAAAGGATTAAACAGAGCAGACTTCCTGTTAACTTCAGGAACTTTCTCTAAGTGTCAGCTTGTTTTCCTTGTAGATAGAATCTAACATTTAATCTGCCTCTTTTCTAATTATGAAAATGGCTGATTTAGTTTTCCTCTTAAAAATATTTTTTTTTTTTGTTTAGAGTAAACCTGGAAACTTAATAGATGCTGGGTTTCCCTGATCTGGGAATAATCAATATCTATGTGGACTGCTAATAACTTTTAGTAGGGAGAAGAAACTCTGGTATAAACGCTGGTATATTTCAAATAGAGGGAAAAGTTCAGAGAGAGCCAAGTTTAAAGTAATTTAATTCTGGCACACAGTCAGCAAAATCATGTGACTTGGTCTCCTTCAGGCTTATTCACAAGGACCTCCAGTTTTATTAATTGCTAAATTACATTTTTGAGCTTTAAAACACAAAGTTGAAAAAAATAGCTTTTTTTCAGCCACTTAAATGTTAAAGCTTGTTAAAAATGTGTAGTCTGCCGGCAGCTTTAGGAGAGAACTGCTTAAACATGGACAGATCTACTGTTGTGGGTAAATTTTACAATTGATAGGTCTGTATTCATTTTGACACAATTATAAGTTTAAACTGATTTTATTGGAATTGGATTTTTTTTTCTTTTTTATATTTGTTTTTAACGTAATTTTTTTTCTATTTGTACTGAGTGCCTCTGTGTTGATGACAGCAGCCTGAAGTGAATCAAATCAGATTTTCTTTTGCCCACATGTGACCTGTATTTGATCTTTTCATGACAGTCTGAAAAACACAGATCAGAATTTTTCCAATGTGACCCAGGCCACTTGGCTATGTCGGCTGAATCCGATACGCATCTGGTCCTTTCAAATGCGACCTGTGTGTGAACTTCCATGTTGCATTCATCTGACCTGTACACCATTAATACTCGACAAAGGTCACTATTCTTCGTCTTGCTACGCAGAAGCAGCAAGAAAAAAAACAAACATGGCGGACATTAGTGCAGAGAGCAGTCTTTATTTTCAACCATCTTGAGAAGATTGTGTTGTTATGCACTGGATGAAGCTGGGAATAAAATGAAAGATCTTTAGATGTGCTCCGACGCTACCATCAATGCACACTTGCTTGTGACGTCACTGCATCCTCTACTGCGCCTGCAGGACAATTAAGCTTTATGAATTCAATTCACACAGGAGATCACATACATGTCGCATATATTTGGAAATGTGAACAACCAATCAAAACAATTGGACTTCACAAAAAAATTGGAATTGAGCATTAAGGCCTGCAGTGTGAACGTAGCCTAATAGAATCACTTTGCAAAAACGGCTGTATATTTTGGCTGTATTGGATGGAGACCCTTATGTTTCCATCAGCTGCCGCCTTCCCTAATGTTACGAATGAATAGAAGTATCCCCAAAGAATGATGCTAAACCCTCCATGTTTCACCAATTATTTAATGTTACAAACTGTATTAAGTGGTATTGATACTCTTGCACGGCCCTACAAGATGCTGTCTTCTAGACATAAATTAAAGCAAAGTATAAATTCAAAATCTAGAGCAATATATGTTGAATTAGTTGTTTGATCATAAGTTCAATGCTTTTAATAAATTCTGTATAAATATTAACTGTATCTCCTTGCTATCTTATTTATTTCCATCAGATCCAGCATACGACAGGACCTACTCCCGCTCTGCCTCCCCTCCAGAGAATGGCTTCAAGCAATACCTGGAGACCCGGCTGTACAGCAGCCAAGGAAAAGGCCCCATCAGGACAGAAAGGGTACCGTATCTTGGCGGCCGCTCCTCTCATGATCCACCGCGTTCCTCTCATGAACCGCCTCGCTCCCACGCCAGACTCCAAGTGCCGGCCAGTACCAGTACTTTGAGGAGCGGCCACCAAAGCCGGAAGCTGGAGCACCTCTCCAACGGGTACGACACAGACAGCAGCCAAGGTTCCAGGGACAGAAATGGGAGGAACATCCACAACCCCTCTAGTCGAGCATGGAGGCCTATGCGGGAGGCACTGAATGTGGACAGTGTTATAAGTAGTGCTGACAGTGGGATCTCAGGAAGAGAGGAGCAAAGGCTGCCCAGTCCACGGAGAAGAACAAGCAGTCATTCACCGTCTCGTGAACCAGAGCAGGACAAAGACACTGCATGGGCGGCATGGGACGACCGCAAACCAAAAAGCCTGATGACTATCTACGAAGATGAGCAGAGGAATGAAACTGGGGGTAGTCGAAGCTCACTAGACTCAGAGGGTAGGGGTGGGCATGATAAGGACAGGTCAAAGGGCTCAGCACCACACAAAGTGCGCAATGAAAACTGGAAGATCCAGAGAACCGAGTCGGGGTACGAGAGCAGCGACAGACTGAGCAATGGCTCAGCTAACCTGGACTCACCTGTTGTAGAGGGCCTTTCTTCTAAAGATCTCCGGCCTATACCAGAACTACAACTGATGAGGTGAGGTCAACTGTCAGGTTCACCTTTTTTTTTTTTATGGTTTTAATGTGTAATTCTGATAGACATTTAAAAACCCAAGTTTCAGAGGCTGTTTTAAAATAATTGAACGTAAAAAAAAAAAAAATGCTTCCAAACGTGTTTTCACGACAGACAGATTTACAGTGACCGGAACAACAGATTTCCATTATCCCTATGTACAGGTGCACCACAGGAGCAAAGTAACACACAGCGATCTGACACATTTCTAGCAATGCCACAGGCATGGTTTTTGGCCTCTAGCAACAAAAGAGCAACGCATCAATAGCTAGAGTTAAAAAAAGAAAAAATCTGAAATTTTGTGTCTTGTCGTAATTTGGGACTGGATGTGGCTGTCATGTAGGGTGAAACCAGTAAGCAGCAGATAGACGCTCCTTTTATTTAACACCCTGAAGTAACATAAATTGAACTTGTCGCCCGCCTCGCCGATTGCTGGCAATAGGTCTGGCGTGTGACAGCATATGAATATGAATGAACTAGTGTGAATCCACCCTAAGAATAGATATGGAGTGATTTTTATGCCTTTTATGCACACACACAAAGATTGCGGCGATGCAGAGGAAACCGTATCAAATGGGGAAACGCACCTGGACGTAACACCTGCACGTTTCAGTTGTTTTGATTGTATGGGGCCCCCTGCTGTCGGTTAGTCAGAATGACAATTCTCCATGTATCACGTGACATTTGGCAGAAACTTACCCCGGAGTGTGAAGAATTGTCTCATACGCCAGGAGAGGCTGTTTCATATGCGAGCAGAGATCGTTTTGTACTCGGGGACAATTCACAAATTATTATTAGTCCGGTTTGAAAAACTATATTTTGTGTGTGTGCAACATTTAAGGACAGTTTGAAAAAAAGTTTTATTTGTGTGTGACATTAGATGAGAGTTTGTAACAAGTTTTATTTGTGAACAATAAGATTTATTTGAGCGCAGCATGTTTTTTTGTGAGTGATAAGATTTGTTTGTGTGAAACATGCTTTATGCATTTGCAACATGCTTTATGTGTGTGCGAAACATGCATTTTTGTACACAACGTTTTGGCAGAAAAATCACTCCATAAATAGAGGTCCATAAAGAGGTATATTCACACACATTATCATGGCAGGCTGTCATTGGTTTGCAGGACTTGTTAGGAGATAATGATCCAAATTAGTTGACAGACTTTGAACTTAGCAGAGACCCAGCAAACCGCTTACCTTCCCCTAAATTCAGTATCACAATTCTTTGTGAGGCACTGTATTATCTCGACAATACCTTTTTCAATATTCTGACAGATGTATAGTTTTTCGTAGGTATACAAGATATTAGCAGCTTAGCGTTATCAAATAATTTTAGCTTTTAAGCAGAATACTGATCATTAGCCAATATAACTCACTGAGATTAAAGGTATTGTCTTTGTTAGATTAGGATTATGCCAGCAGGTCAGATGCATGGGTCTGCTACAGGACAGAACCTGAAGTGAAAATGTTTGTGGTATGGATGATTTTAAAATTCAGGAATCTGATAAACAAACTGGTATCTGCAATGACTGCAAAGGACTGGAAGCAGAAAACTAAATGGTTCCTTTAAATCTGTTATGAGCATGTTAAGTTGTAAACTAGTGGATGTCAGACAAAATTCCAACATTGTGCTTTTTCTGGTTTGGGTCTATTTTATTGTTCTCATTGAATAGCCATGCAGTGGACAGGTTATGAGCAACAGTTAGTTTACCAAAAAAACATCCTCTAATGATCAGGCAACTATTCAGATTGAGCTCAGTTTTACAATATTTTTCTGTCACATTAAAACCACTTGGATCTCAAAATATCGCAGTTCCCCCTGCTAGCTTTGTGGCTATCACTTTTGCGGCAAATGTGTCGTTTAACACTTGTTTAGTTTAATCAAATGGCACCGATTTATAACAAATGCAAATAGAAATGTGATTGCATTTATTCCAACTTGATCCTAGTAGTAAAACAATGCTATCCAATTTAGCTAATAATTTTAAGTGGTAAATGTTTTCCTTTGAAGGAAATCTTATAGATTGCATTGACTCATTGCAGCTATTTCTCATAATGAGCAGACGTGGTAACTCTGGAAGGCAAATATTCCAATTTAAGAGTAATTAACTTAAGATTGCTTTGAACAAGCACATTTAAATTAATATATTTATTCTTGTATTTATTGATCTTTTTATCGGGACAACAACAAAGCTGTTTTTGACTTGGCAAATTTGAATTAAGTGCAGCTCTCTTTGGATAAAAGGATTAATCACACGCAAAACATTATTTTGACCATGTACTTGCTATTTGTTTAAACCTTGCTTTGCTGTCAAAAAAACCAACATATTGTTGGCGCCCTCCTCAGGTTGATACGGAGTTACCACATCATTTTTTGGCTTAGCTGATTTTGTAATGTAAAAGGGAAACTGACTTCAGCAGCTCCACCTTGAGCAGCTGCCCCCTGACAGTATGAAGTTTTATGCAATATTTTTCTTTTAAATATTTTGTCTTCTCCTAGAAGATCATGCATATTGCAATGCATTATTAAAAGATAGTAAATATTCTCATATTTTTTCTTCAGTTACCATCTGTTGCAAAATGATATTTATGTTAAAGATGAATAATTAAATACTTTTTGTTTCAATAACAACTGTAATCTTTTTTAAGTTGGAGGGAAGTGCTCCATTTTTTTTTTTGTATCCAAACATCTCAAACCCAGTTAGGCTAGAAAATTTCTTAAAATGTCTTCAATTTCTAAACGACTTCACAAAAGATTAAAATTACTTCACTTAAAAAAAAAATTAAGCTATTCCTGCTTTTTGAAACTGATGCTGTTTAAGGATAAAAACATATTTGGACGTCCCGGGAGATTTTTACATGTTCAAAAAAAGGAAGGATACAATGATGTGTTTGCTGTGAATGTTTTGGAGTTAATTTCCTCGTAAATTTTACTTTGTTGAAGCGATTGGAAAAAATATAATGTTTTAGTACATTTTGTATCATTCAGGGACAAATTAATAATTTATATCCTCTGTGTTTCAGGGATATATTTCCTCCAAGAGGAAGTGAGGATTTAAGTGCTGCTGTGTTGTACTCTGGTTTCTCTACAGGTAAGTCAATATTTTTACACAATATAATAATAATAATAATAATAATAGAAAGAGAAACTGATATCTTGTTCTAATGATTCCCTTTATTTTCATATACCATATATGTGTTCATTTCTTAGATTTTTTTTTAAATATTAATTTGAAAGGGCCACCAGAATGAATACAAGTTGCTGATATTTATTATTTTAAAGATATTTTTATATTGTCGCTGGAAAGTTCATCCTTGATTCTAAATATTCTAACAAAGCTGAACTTTTGAAATCTCATCTAGCAACCAGCGAAACAAAGGGGCAATTTAAAATATCATTCATATCAGACATGACAACAGACAAGAAACGCAGAGTTCTTATCAGTTTTTGTATAATAAAGCATAAAATGAACCACAATGACATTTGGAAGCAGATTGCAAATATATATGTTTAAAACAGTCATCATAGGCATGAATGCCAAATTAATATTTTAATTTCTTTACTTTTATACAAAGTGTATTTACATATAGTGATTATGTAGATGGATTCTCCTGGAGACACCATGGTTACAAAAACAGGCCAGCCATTGTGGCATCTCATAAAGAGACCCAGTTCTACAATGACCAATCTATATAAATACATTTTAAATGAATTACAATGTTGTGGGTTGAAGTATCTGCCTTTTATGCTGGATTTTCTCTGACATTGAAGAAAAACTATTGCTCATGTTGTCAGGATCTGCAGTGTTAAGTGACCTTAACATTAGTGATTGAACAATAAATCAAGGAAACTGCTGTGTGCCGAGGTCTGTACACTTTGGCTCCTCACCGGCAAAATTCAAAACCCTATGCAACTAGTCTGCTTTAACGTTCAACACTTAAAGGAGAAGTTCACTTTTTAACACTTTAAGCCTATTTTCTGTAGTGTCCAGGATGAAATCGAATGATCGACACCAAAATTTTGACAATTGGTCCTGTCTCTGCTTTTTGGCTCAT